GAGTGGTAAATATGATGGACGAGATCAGTTCTTGTTAGCGTAGTTCACTCGAAGTGATCGGCCATTGAAATCCGTTCCATTGAGGGTGTTGACTGCATTTTGAGCTCCAGCTTCATCAGAGAACTCGCAGAATCCAAAGCCCTTTGGGCGACCAGTTTCACGGTCATAGACGATTCTGAAAGCACAGAAGAATTAGTACAGCGCAATTTGTTGTAAGCTTCTGGCGACCTACCTCACGTTGGTAACGTTTCCAGCTTGGCTGAAGTGATTTCCGATTGCATCCTCAGTGGTCTGATAGGGGATGTTTCCAACTAAATGAAAACTCGATTATAATGTGAAACGCATGTCACGAGAAATAAAACCGATACCAGTCAGTTATAGTCCGTGATAAGGCCATTACAGAGCAAAGGCACCCTACCTAACCTAACCTAGTCTACGGGGAGCATGCAAAAATACTAATCCCAACCACTTAAGTCAGATCCCTCTACCGTTGCATGCGACGGTGTTGTCGCTTCCACGGCGACGTCGTCTCATCCATTTCGACCAGAACTGCGTACGCAGTTGATGGGATAGTTATAAGTTAATTTAGCCTTTATGGCTACTGCGGTCGTTGTTTCCTGCAATATCGGAATGTTTTCGAAGGCCATTGGAACCATTGAGAACACCGATAAAGCACAGTTAATGCTTATTTCAAATGTAGGAATGCTCTAGTTCTGCAAATTTATTTACTGAACAAATAGAAAACTCCCTTCTTTGAAAAACTATCGCTCATGCGGCCAAAAAAACTTACCGTAGACAGAGTGGCGAGTCGGGTACATTCCCATGGTGGCCATTTTCTTTAGGATTTGGGAGAGAGGACTGAAAAGCAACCGGCTACGAAACAACAAGGGCTGTTGTGATCACTGTGCGGAGGGGTGGCCCCGATGAGATGGGCGGCCTGCCCCGCCCCTCGGCGATTCATTCCAAACGTCTACGGTGCAAACGTGGTCCAGTTCAAACGCACATTTCCCCCAAGCATGAAAGTATCGATTTGTATTGGGCAGGAGAAAGAAACGGGAAAAAGCACTCCCATTTGGCGAAAGTGGTGGAGAACCAGTGCAACATTGCCCTTGTAATTGGTTGACACGGAGCTCACCCAACCCTCCACTCTGCTGGCACCATTTCGAATATTTGGCTTTTTCAGATCCTTAGCAGTACACGCTTTCTGCGCGTCAGCACAAAAAAATATACCTACACTCCCTATCGCTGAGACGGAGGAGGCGTGGCATTTAACATGGCATATAATGGGTTACTTGTGGCACATTTCAATCTGCGACAACTGTCATCTTGTTCTGTGTTCGGCAGAGGGACGACCACCTATATGTCGAAATCAAGGTATTTCCCCAAAGCAAAGCTAGCACCACGTTTAGTTGGAGTACGCAGCCACCCCTACCACATCTCAGGGGCTTATCACCGTAACTAGTCGGGTCGCAATCAGTTGGTATCCGCCTCCAGCCTTTCCACGGCTGTTTTCTTCCTAAATCGATTACTACTCGATCACCATTGGTAGAGCAAAGCAGTCGGAGGCAGGCTCATGGCGCGCGGCGATCGCTGCACCGACTCGTTGCGATGTTATAAACCATACATAGTTAATCCGAAGGTTAAAATTTGGCAACATCATTTACTACTACACAAATTTCCCAGAATCAAAGAAGTTGTTCACAGACTTTTCCAGGGGGCAGATTCGAATGGAAGTTTATTTTCAGGTAGTTCGACCCCTGAACACGAATACCACATCCGCTCGGCGTGGAGCTGCCTGAAGCCGGCGACAAATTACTCTGAACCAGCTAGTCCGCTATAAACTTGTCCATAGCAGTAGTTTGACTCCCCAAACACGAAGATCGCGTCTACGTTGGCCGCTGATGGTGTTCAGGATGAAAGAGGAGGGTTGAGCTTAATCTGCTGCGCTGTTCGGCACCCTTTCCCCCAAATTTTGACCTTTGCGAGAATGATCGTTATCGCAGGGAACTAAAAAGAAGACTGTCTTGTTTGGCCGGCCGTGTTTGTCTGACCGCCCTAGCACACCGCCTGGTACGAAACAGTCACGAGTCTGCGCTGCACACTCGGGGTCAAAACAGGACAAACGAAACACCGAGAAACCTCAACATGCAGGCTTATACCGAACTTGGTAAGAAGTGTGTTGGTGCCACATGGCGCCAGAGCCAGAAGCTAGCGCGATATTTATGATCAGGGCATCAAATTACACTAATGGGCAAAGTTTATGCAAAAAAAATCGTGAGTTTTGGGGTAGTAAGGGTTCAAAAGCCCGAAAACTTTATGTTAACAACTAAATGGTTCTGAAAGGATCACTGGGCTGGGGTGGCCCGTTAACTTATCATGCTTCGTCATCAATACCAAGCAGCATTTATGCAGAACGACTTTGAAGTATCTGTGAACTCGCTGAGGAATGGTTGCATATCAATTAAGAGGAACAAGGGAGGATAATCGAATGGGAAGAATTCGAGACATCGGGAGACTCGATAGAAAAGACTAGGTGAAAATAGACAATAGACGTTGTTCCGTTATCTGTGCCCTTGGAAAGAATTAAAAAATCGGGAATTGAGCCCATCAATACCGCCCAAGTGGAGAACAGTCAAAATCGTTTTGTACCTCGTTCTTTTTGCGGATTCTCACAAATTCACATTTCTCCAACCTTGCATCGGCAATGAATATGCTCTCTAAAATTCGCCAGCTTATGACAGCACCTTTTCTGTCTTTGGCGTCCTGCCTTAAGGCCGCTTCCATACTTTGTGACAGTGAAGAACTGACGAATTGAAGAATGCAGAAATGAGGAATAGCAGAAATGACGAATATGATCAGATATGAGTTGACCGACTTCCGCGTCCCGTCAATTGTTCATTTTTCAATTCTATAGCTCTCGATATCTGTAACGCTTCAGATCAATACCTATCCGATCCTTTCCGTCAATTCTTCAATTCTGCATGCCTTCGAACGTCAATATGTACTTCACTGTCGCGAGGTAGAACGCGTCCCAAGGTGAAATAATCCGTAAAATTGTAATCATAATTTTGCACAAGGAATTTTCAAAGTCCCGATACATTACGAGTTCCACTGCAACGTCATTTTTTGATTTTTTCTGCGGGACGTCATTTAGTACCTGGGGAGCGCGAGGAAACATTGTCAGCAAGGGCATGAAGATTCTTCCCGTGTAGGAGAAAAGCAGCATTAGCCCGAGATGGATGAACAAGTACTTGTGAGCATGTTGTTTTTCGCACCAGGTGGGCACTAACTTCCCCTGTGCCTGTACATTAGAAGATATTGTCGTGGCTCTCTTGAGTGCTCTGCACCGAAATGCCCCACCATAGTGATAAAGCGCCGGTTCGTGCTCTGTAGAACCTTACTTTGCTTCCCATTAATTCGAATACCATTCACCAATGATCGTGTTCTTCTGTTCGCTGGATAAACACACGTCTTATTGTGAACCACGGCCAGAATATGCTCGAGCCTTAATTTTATCGCTTCCGAGACATCTAGTTATTGAGTGGACGGACCGTCTACTCGTCTGCTGTCTAACGCACAATCAAACCAGACGCCATAAAAATTTAATGGGGAGGGTGGGATGGTTGAGATGGGGCTTTCAGTAGTATTGAAAGTACTAATGTATTATTTGCGATAAAGACCTTTCTCGGCCTTTCAAGGCCTCCCTCAGCTCATCCGTCTGCCGTTTATTTTCGCAGGGAAGTGACGCAGAGCAAACTGGCTAGATGGTTTCAGAGGTCGTTCATTTGATGGTGACGCATTAACTATTTAATGTGTTGTTTGCTTCAGACAATACTTTTCGAGTGGCTTTAAGGTTTTAAGCTCCTGCTGGAACTTTTTGGTTACCACTTCATGGAACCAGGTGATAGGTTGAAATTTATGAGTATATGTTGGTAGATAATGCTTGAATTTGTGCGAAATTCGGCGCAGCTCGGCTTGGTGGGGGCACCGAATCGTACTCAGCTGTGTTTGTACAGGCCACCTGTGAAGGCTTGTTATTTCTCGTGACAAAAATGGCTTTATCGAATTACATCATAGCTTTACAAGAGTAACAAGCTTTTATCAAAAGTGCAAAGTGCCTCGCCAGGCCGGACGGCTTCCGGAATTTATTTATAGCCATTTCTTAGATGAAAATTCATGTGCGACACGCTCACTGGATTTCAAACGGATCCGTGTAGGTTGTGCCTACTGTATTTTACCAAAACGGAAGTTTGCAGTGCATTTTTCTCAATAACGTTTTTTTTTGCAAGTACTTGACGATTTCTTGTTTGCATTGCGCACCAGTTCTTCAGCATGTTCTTTTTTATACATACTTTCTTTCCCATTCATGGAAAGGTTATCTCTTTTGGATTTCAAAACAAACACCCAATGAACGTTCTGGAAAGATATAGGAAGCTTAAATAGTACAGGTCTTCAGTCTTTTTTGCTGAGAGTTTCACACTTTGTTAGAGTAAGTATATGTACGCACGAACCAAGGCAATACTTCTGTGGTCAAGAATATATTGCTCTATGCGAGACATTCACATGTTTGTGCCCAGCAACAAGTTACGAATACAGCTGGCTCAGAAAATGTCCCACTCAGAACGGCTAATGCCGTTTGGACTCCAGAAATTTCGGCTCGAGCTCATTTTAAAAGTGGCAAGATCACCAAATCCGCTAAAAACTTGTATATAGGGGTAATTCAACATCCTGATTACGAGTATGACACTCATTCTTGGCGCTGGCGCCAAGAGAGGACACTACGATTACCTCCTGGGCTCAGCCTTAGCAGAGCGCCGAAAGCAGAGAGCCTGTTCGTGATCAGGATTTGGTGATCTTGCCACTTTTAAAATGAGCTCGCAGCCGAAATTTCTGGAGTCTAAGCGGCATTGGCCCCGCGGAATCCATTTTTCCTTCTGGACTGGTTTTCAGTCTCCGAATTTTTTCTGGTAGATGCAGAACAGTAGAACATCCTCCAGAGAGAAACTTGCTCTTGTTACTTTTTTTCTTTCCAAACTTTAGCTCTTTCTTGAGCGCTCCGTACTTTTGCTCATGTTTGATAACACTTTGTCGGCTCATCTATTCTGATTTCAGATGCCGCTCATCAAGCGAGCGGTCTCGCCAGTACACGTCAGCCGGGTAAAAATACCGCCTGAAGTAACTAACGGCGAGCTTCAGTACGTTGCAAACAGCACCTTGGCAAATTTAATAAGGCAGCTGAGTTCAATCAGCAAGCATGCCGAACATATATTTGGCGAAATTTACTTGGAGGCAATGAAACTCGATCATAAGTCGAATACGTTGGAGAAACGGATCGCGAACCTTACCGAGAAAGTTTCGAAATTGGACTCCACTAATGAACAAGGTAACGCTACAGCTCTCAGAATACTATCAGCATTTCAGGGACCACTGTTTTAGAGTTTCCTCTTATTATATCCCTTTGAAGAAGAATATATTGATTCGTCCTCCTTTTCGCAGAATCACTGAATATAGTTCCTGCGCTCAACCGATTCTTAAGCATCTTTCCTTGTTCGAATAGGCTATACCGCGGTCTTTAGGATTTCCCTTTCTCGCCTCTTTACAGTAAGTGAGAAGGCGCTGCGGTCATATGTGGCAGTTCCGACGTTTCCCTCGTTGCCTAACCCATCAAAACTCAGAGGCTTTTTTCTCTCCGAGTATAGGTTTTGGGTCGTTCTCCTGGTTTTTCTCATTGCTGGATGATTTTAGCATTCGATGACGCGAAGAAACGATTAGAGCCAACTGGGAGGCAGCAGGATATTATCCCTTTGTTGGCAAGCGAGCAGGTCCGGAAAACTCGTATAGTGAGGTTTCCGGGGGTACTTAGTGTTCTGCGTGATCCTTTTTTTCCTCCCTGGAGAGTCATCTAGCGCTTATAGGATTTAAAATGACCACTATCCAGAATATGCAGCCGCAGGTATCTATCCAATAAGTTAACCGTTGCTGACCGACTGTTCTGTAATGGCCGAAAAGTAAAATATGAGTTGGATATAGAGGCAAGAACTTGACGAGAATTGAATGGCTATGATTAATAGTAGTGCCATAACAGTACTAGTACTGAATACAGCACTTGGGTTTGGGAGAGGATGCAATGAATCATGTTCTTACTCACGCCCACTCTTGAATAAATGTGTCCGTTACTAACCTGCTGAGCTACTTTACACAACTTATAATTTTTGCATCCAGTTAATTCTATTTCAGCCACCTTTCTTGAAACCACTTGAAACATATTTGTGTTACAGCCAGCCTGGGTGAACTCCAGATGAGGAAGCCTTTCAAGAGTTCCATGTTGGTGGACCAACATACGCTGGATCGGAGTACGTTACCGGTGGCACTCGCTGAAGTTTACTCGCGATGTGATCCTCCTCCTAATCTGGATGCACTCAACCCTTTCAGGTAATTGATTTCTTCCTTCGGTTTGTTATACGGGGTTCGAATCATAGAGTTTTTTATTTATGCAGTCAGAGCTTTCCTGTTCCAAAATTTTATGACTACTCTGCGGGCTTGAACCCTCTTTCAGATTAGTTGAAAAAAGCGCAAATACATCAATACATCTGTGCATTTTTTATAAGAACGTTGATTTACGCGGTAATTTTTGGAATTGAAGCCGCGTAACGTGGTGCTTCCGGGCAGCTGTAATTTGTTACGCCACCAAAGTCGCTCTTACCCTCTGAGACACTGAGCTCATAGTAGCATAGCGGATAGCGCATGGTAAACGTGGAGAGCGGGTTCTATTCTCGCTTTCAGGGAATCGAACCCCCTCTAAACGTTTCCCATGCGCTATCCGGGTCAGGGTTTTGTCCACAGCGTAGCATTATTAACCACCAGTTATCATAATGAAACAACGGCACTTTTTACCCTTTACTGCCCCAGTCATCCGAAATCAGGCCAGTTCCTGACCGACTTTTTTTCTCCGTGGGCAGATTTTGCTCAAATGTTGTCTCCTGGGGTAGTTTGACCTCCAGAATACGAATATCACATTCGCTCAGCCCGAAACTTCCTGGCGCCCGCGCCACAGGCGCCAATGATTTGGGGTATTTTGGCGCCGGTGCCCGTGGTGCGGGCAGGAGGTTTCGGGTTGAGCGGATGTGATATTCGTGTTCAGGGGGTCAAACTACCCCTGGGAGCAAGTTTTCAGCGAATTTGGTGATTTCGAGTATTTTGGCGCCGGCGCCCGTGGCGCGGGCGCCAGGAGGTTTCGGGTCAAGCGGATGCGATATTCGTGGCGGTCGAACTACCCCTGGAGCCAAGTTTTCAGCAAATTCTGCCCACGGAGAAAAAAGTCGGCTGGCCTGATTTCGGATGGCTGGGGCAGTAAAGGGTAAATAGTGCCAAACAGCTTCCAAAAGAAAGTATTTTGTTTAGTAGCAAGCGCATCCTACCGGGATCATCCTACAAAAGTTGGATGGGGGACGGGAGAAGGTAGCCAATTGCGGGCATTGGCAGACAAATGGACAGAAGGGTATGCGGGTTGTGAATGTAGAACGGTTTGGGACTGATATTCACTAATGTCCTATAATGGAACCCTACTTTTCGACAAACCGCATCACCATTTCCATCTTCCTTTTGTTGTTGATCGGCGGCGTGCTGAATTTTGTTTCGATTCTCTATTGATTGGAATGAAACACTGGGCACCATTGATTAACAACAATGAGCAGAGGTGATGTGGTAAACGAAATATGGGGCTGTATTGTATGAGGAATGAGGATATTGGAGATTGTGAGGGTCATTCCCAGCCCGTTCCACCTGTAGATCTTAGAAACCTTTTTTCCATTCGTCTGCCAGTGTCCTTCTAAACTGGCTGTCGCCTCTCGTCCTCGCATCCAACGTTTGTAGGACGACTTCGGTTGGATGCGCTCACCCTGCTATTACACATTATATTCTACGTGTTGTGTTTTATTCGCACTAGTTTTTTTCTTGAGCGTTGATCTGAATAGGGCTGTACTGATGCCCGAAACGTATTCAGTACAGATATGGAATTCAAGAACTTTTATGGGATACGCTTGGAGCTTACAATTCATGGATTAGGGACGTTTTTTACAGGGATCCTGGTGCACCGAGTGCATTATCTCTCTATACCAATCCGTCGTTCTTCTTCGACTTATGGAGACAAGAAATGCTCAAGGTACGGTTGTCTCTTTCCACATTCTTGATAGAGGATGACTCATGTTAAGCTCTTGCAAATGTGATACCTATAATATTGTTCAACGCTATTGTATATTGTTTATAGAGTTCTTAAGCATGAGACGCCTCGGCGTACTCATTGTACTGTTCAGAATTTGAGTGTACGGGCGGTAGCATAGCCGAAGAGTCTTTTCAACTAGTGTATCGCTAGGATTAATTGTCCAGAGTTTACTCGATAACAGAGTTTATCGGCACTTTTGGGAATCTTTTCTATTCGCTGGTGACCTTGCAAATAGCAGGATTGGACAGGCACTGAATGCGATTTCTGCCAGCCAACTATCACCGAGGGATACATTTTTGGCCATCAAATTTAACCATTACTCCTGTTTTTTAACTACATCTTGCACTAGCATGCCTCCTATACGAAAGTTATGCTTCTTTCCTTGGGGTATGTTGGGAAATACTTTATTGAGAAGTGGGGAATCAACCTCTCGACAAAAAAAACAGGTCATCATGCAGAAGGTCCCTGAGTCCTGTAATCCGTATCTTCGTGGCGTGAGCATTCGCCTCAGTGCAGTGCTCACGTTTGATACTATTTTTCGTTTTTTTCTCTGATGATCTCATCTTACAAGTCGTTCAGGATTGCGCGGATAACACGGCTAGGAGACGAATGAAGTCTCCGACACCGGATGGCCTCAGTATGGTGAGGAGTCCGAAAAAGCGACGACAACGGGTACCACCACAACATCAAGAAGTGCCCAGACAACAAGCGGCAAGGTATGACATAGTTTGGCTTTTTTTATTGCATACCATGTCTTTTATATCTGGAATCACTTTTTTTTCACCAGAAAAAGACATCGGTATCATTGCCTTTTAGTAAATCAACTAGTTTTCCAGAAAGTAGTTTTTGAAGGTACATGTCGTCCCTTCGGAATGCTCATTCTGCAGCTCTGTCATTCCCGGATGAATACCAATCGCCGCAATCGTTAGGCCTCCAGCTACACAAAACTAGTCAGATCCAGCACTTCCCAGTGAGCTCATATAATTTCTTCCACCTTTTTTATTTCTGGTGTTTTCTTCTGTGGTTCATGGTGAAGTAATCTTATCCCGCTTCACGACACTTCTTTCTCACGAGTTATCCTTTTCACAACCATCTCATTTTAGCCTGTTCAAACAACCACCGCTTCGCAGTCCGGTGGAATGAGCATTCGTCCTGCTCCAGCTCCAGAGAATAGACAACGAGCGACTGTTTCCCCACTAAAAGAGCTTAAGGTTTGTGATTGCCTTGTCATGCGTAGTATAGGTGATTCCCACTTACTTCACTAGCTGTGGCAATAACTTAACTCTTCTTCATCGGATAGACGTTGAAATGATGCACTCCTTTTGGTTGTGAGATTTACATGAATTATCTTATAGATGTTCCAGCGTGAGCTTCCTCCGCCAGATCTGACACTTTTGTCGATTGACGATGAGGATGAAGAATTGCCGCCACCTCCACCTACCCTGATGCATACTAGTGTTGTCAATCATTTGCCTTCACCTCCTCCAAGTTCTATGCAACTTGTGCCGAGTGACGCTCAAGCTGTGGTAGGATTTCTACCAAATTTCATTTCAAGTTATCTGTACCGATCAATTTTTCCACTGGTGCCCCTCACCTCTACAATTTTCACAACTGCCTCTTTTACTGATATCTATACAGGGAACGCTTTCAACTTACGTTTTTTTTTCGAAATTCATCGTTCAGGTTCCTCCTCCACCCGCACCCCCACCGCCTCCACAAAACCTTATTACTACAACTGCTCCGTCTGCAGCAACTTTCGGAGGAGCTACGAAGGTATGTTGTATCGGGGTGGGCAAAATTCCCTTTCTTTCTCCTCTCTTGCTCTTTGACGACTCGCTGAATAAGCACACAGGGTACAGCATCACTGTGCGGATTCCATCGCGGAGGTCATACTTGGCTGCTAAGAAGAGGAACTCACTGTCAGCTTTTGCGCTGTTTGCCGGGCACCGAGAACACGAAAGTATCCTTGTTAAGTTTTTTGGAGCGCTGAATAGAACGCACATGTGTGGAAGATGAAAAAATTCGAAATAGAGGAAATGATCAACTAACAATATTAATGATTAGCATTAACTCATAAGTACGTACAGGTTAGTCAGACCGGCCTTTCCGAATCTTATAATACACCCGCTTGCATGAGCAAAAATTACACACCATTAGAAAGTACACCTTTCCACCGCTTCTGCGTGGGAGCGTAATGCATGGCGCCCACTCAGGCGGAACCGATCGATGTTAACCAGAACACGCTTTCACTCAGTTCAACGTGAATATGTTTGGAAGGCATGTTGAAGTCCCCGAACGAGTATACTGACAATGGCACAGAAAGGTGGAGTTTCTGAGTGGCTCAGTTTTCATCCATCAAATTAACAAGGCAAAACAAAGTATTTGGAAAAAGAAATACTCCAAAAAACCAGTCCCAAATATCTCCTAAACTAGCGGGTATTCAGGAAAAACATAGCAATTTTTCAGAAAGAGGAAATATTGTGCTTCGTGAGGATGTTTCTGGTTTTTGAAAGGTCACGTTGGAAGACGTTGTTGTCGTCCGAGACGAAAACTCGCGTGCGCTTTGCCACTAACCCGACTATACCTATCCGAAATATTTCTTGAACAGCCCGACTATACTTACCAAAATATTCCTCAAACAGGGAAAGATTCAACTTACTGGTAGCAAGGAAAGGCAAAGTCGTGCTATCTCTTCAACTTATCGCTTCCCGTTTCCCAGAGGCCCTGCCCTGCATTGAAGAAGGTATTACCCTCCCTCCACCCGAGAAAGCACTGCGGTTTCTGCACTGTCAGCAAGTCTGTTTTAGCGCCACTGCACTGGGAAGCGGCCCTAACCCTTCTCGTTAGAGCCAACAAATAGAGCCGCAAGAGCGAGGGGGTCATGTCGTGCCCTCTTAGGAGGGGGAGGGGGGGGGTGAATCGCATTGACACCGCCATTTCACACATCTTGATGCTGTATCCTGTATGCAGAGTACGTTACTTATGTAGGACTTCTGAGAAGTCGGAGTTTCTTGGGACAGAAGGTTCATGTTTTTTTTACTTAAGCCTTCGACCGAAACCGAGGAGGAGGAAAAGAAACCTGACACACGAAGTAACTTACTTGCCGAGATCCAAAGTGGAATCAAGTTGAAAAAGGTTTGTCAGTTACATATCAAGCAGTTCCTTTACCCAGTTTTGAAATAAGTTTAGTTTCACTTCTGTTTTTTGATCGTGAATGCTTAGTCTGCACTATCTTATTGTTCTCAAGGTTCGACTAGCTGAAGAGGCTGCGGCTGACAAGGCTGCTGCGGAGGCTAACGATGTAGCCGCGATATTAAAGCGGAGAATGGAGAGCGTTATGGGTAATGAAGATGAGGAATCACAAAGTAGCGGTGATGACGGAGAATGGGAAGATTAATTCTTGTTTGTCTGTATTTGTGTGTACTGTATTCTTTTTTCTCATAATCTGACAGTGGTGCATAGTAGTACTGCGTTAAACCCATCACGGCGACGGCTGGTGAAAGATTTGCCCAGTGAAATACTGAGATCGGATTTCTATGACGTCATGAAACTCCTGAAGGTTTTCTGTCTTTCGATCTCAGCATATCACAACTTCGTGGACTTTTCAGAATTTGTTGTTCTGTTTTCTTTTTTGAGTATTTGGTGATCCTTGGGTCATCGTTCCGTTAGATTAGCAGCGCTTGTGATTAGTCTTTATTCTTCTGACCGCCTAAAGTATAATGACTTTGAATCATTCTGGTCTCTCCTCAACTTTCTTGCTCAGTTTTCAAATAGTAGTAGTTATTTATAAATAATTGCTGTCATTTGTGAATTTCGTCATTTGTACAGAATTGCATTAGCCACTGGATATGTATCATTCCTTTTTCATTTTTTGTGTGTTGCGTGGTAAGGGAACAGTTTTATTAGAGATACAGTCTTTTTGAGTTCTTGGTGAAAGTTCGGTATACATATGCATTTTATGTGATTGGCGTAAGGAGTTTCTTTGTTATGCCTCATTTGGTTATTTAATTTGTTTTGTTAATATTTAGTTTGTTCGCTAGAAGTTCAGGCTCACTTGCCGTAATGCTGCTTACAGTTGATCAGGTTAAAGTCCTATAACGAAAACTTTTTCATCTAGATTGATCAGCGATTATTATGGCAATTTATATATGAAAGTGTTCCTTTTATTCTAGAGGTTTAAATTGGAGTGGTTATAGTTTGCAATAACATTGTGGTGATTTATAAGTCAGTCAAAATAAAGCATTCAGTAGTGAAGAGAAACTTTCAACTGATTTCGGGGGAGGTGTTCCGGCCGGTATGGCTTTTGTAAAAATTGAACGGTACAGGTTGGAAGAATTTTCATGATGCGTTTTGAGTCACACGATCACTGACAGCTGGACGGCGATCTACGGAAGTGTTATCAATGGTGAGTGCCGAAGATGGAGTTTATGTGGAAGAAACATGATCATTACTTCCAAAAGGCAAGCTCAACTCCACGGTGGCGGTGATGGGGGAGTAAGGTATTATTGTGCGTGCTGAGTCCCAGACACTAGAGAGAAAGGGAACTGCGGAGGGCGTTGGCGTGCACTTGTACATTTTTACATCCCTCGTAGCTCGTAGAGGGGTACTGCCACATGAGCGACCTACATGTGGAATTCAGTGCGCAGTGTAATCCGGGCCAAGCTAACGCAGAATTCGTGTGGGATACCGGAATAGTTGTCCTGACATTCCGCGTATGCTTACCAAGCTTCTATCCCTTCGCGAAGACAAATCAGTAATATTTTCACATTAGGAAAATACGAATGAGTGCGAGGGCGCTCATTCCGTTTTTCTAACCTTTAGCAGGTGCATGCCTAAGAGTAAACTCAGGTGTACTGTGTGCACCCCATTTGTGGTGCATTTTCACTTAGGAAAATGCGAATACAGTCTTGTCCGTTATGGAAGAAGGAGCCAGTGGAGCTAGGTTTGGCACGCGGCCAGCCCGTTCTCCACCAGTCGTTGAAGCTGGTAAGCGAACGAGTGGTATGATACATTTGTTGTTTGCTAAAATAAAAAAGAAAAACAGGCTGGTGCAGCGCCAAACGCGTCCTGCCTTGACACGCCCTGGCATCCATAGCCACCGCTGTGCTTTTTATTCCATCAAATCAGCATCTATGGGGTTACTCGGGAAGACTACTTGGGTAGCCGAAGAACAGCACGAAGACCACGGTTGGGAATATCTGGGTTATTTTTGACGGCTTTACAGAGACTCAGTCGCAATAGATAGAAGGAGAGGGTTGTCCCATTCAGCAAAGCAGTGTCTCCAGCGTAGCCGTACATACATCTTCAATGATGGTCAAATCCAACAAACACTGCCGGCACAGCTCTTACCAGAAGTTTTTGAACGATTCTTGCGTTTCTGTTCTAAACAATGGAAACAAGTTCATGTGTGTCCTTTCCCTCGAAAAAGGCTTAGAGTGGAGGAACGCTGTATCGCAGGGCCCGAGGGCAAACACTGTTTCCCAAGCCCTAGGGAAAGAGATACAGGGCTCCGCTGAGTGTTTCCCTCCCTCCAAAATTACTCTGGCCCGATTTTTCAAGTCAGCAGTTCATTACGGTTAATCATATTACGAATATCGTTGTGCTGATATTGGGGATTAACAAATGAAATCGTGTTGTGTTCCCAACGCACCATCGACCTGCAAACTGGTTTCATTTCATTCTCAAACGAGTACCAGTTTTGTTGACGCGCACTTACTGCGCGAATCACATGGGGATCTCATGGACTGCTAATTGACAGAACATTTGTAACAACCCTTATAACCACCGGTACCGAAAATTTAGCTTCTGCTTTTAAAATACCATCTATCTCTTCTTTTTTTACATTCATCAATAATCAGTTGCCCAATCTTCATTCACACTTCTAAAAGCGTCTACCGTTTCTGGGAATGGGTTTCTGGGAAGCTCAGAAGGTTTAGCGGGCGAAAACGTTTCGACGACAGCAGTGCCTTAGAGAATGAAGGCTTTAGCTTTAATAGCGTTCAATAAGCATCTACGTTTTGTTGGAATTCGAGAACCAGTGAATTGGTTCTGATTCCATTGCTATTGGACTGGAGCAAAAGCTGTTCCTTCGGTACTTTCAACCCCTTGACACCTATAAAAGTCGTACCTATTGTAAAAACTTCAACGAATGTGTTGGACGGTGCGCGCAATCATTTTTTGGGCCTACTTTCTGACGCCCCTTATCAGCGCTTATCAATTTTATCACATCCTATCGCCCACTTATGATGTCCCCATCTTGTCTCCTGAACCGCTTCTCGCGACCAACGTCCCACGGTTGCTGTGGTGCTCTGTATCAGTTTGATGAATTCTTATCAGTCGTTATCTCATAATGTTACCCACCATCAATGTCCCATTCCCAGTCCTTACAAAATCTAAGAACCAATGCCCTACCGTTGCTGAGAGGTGCTTATAAATTTGATAAAACCGCCCATTTAAAGCCCTCATAAGCTCTTACCAGTTGTTTTCCTTTCGTTTCACCAAATGCTGTTCCCGCCCCGTCCCCTATATCACTTATCAATTTGAACTCTCTGCGGGTAAACCCAATGAGGTTATGAACTCTCGGTTGAACACACACGCACACTATCAGACCAACTTAGCGAGTTGTATGTATTAGGATTCTATCAGTTCGCCGGACGTGGGGATAAGGCCTGAGATTGACAGTGTGTGGTTTGTTCTCCGTATCATGCGGGTGGTAGTAGCGCTTATGTCAGTGCTGTTACTTCAGCTCCTCCCTTTTCACAATAACCAAATACCAGAAATGTGGGGAGATAGTACTGTGATTTTTGAGGAAAAGGCGCCCATGATCTGCGGGATAGATTTGTAGATTGCCCTCCATATAGGATCATTTCCATTAGCTTTCATTCGGTTTCAGATGAACGCACTCAAACAGTGCTCAAGCCGGAGTCTTATCGAAGTAGCCCTAGTGAATGTGCGGAAGAGATTCCTCGATCGGGCCACATGCCGTTTCTCTCCGGATTCTATAGAGCATGATATTGTCAAATATAGATTGAAGAAGGTATGTTTGGCACAAAAAAAAAAGCACACATATGCTCCAGCATCCTCTCGTCCTGAACAATTCCGAGGCGGCCAACCCCAATGGCCACCCCTGTCAGTGTGGCAAGTGACTTAGCACGCACGCGGTCCTGTGATCCATCGGCTCCCGTCCAGGGCATCCAAGCCCTACCCTCTGGGGAGGCTAAATTGATAATAGATTTGTCTGAGAGGATAGGAACACTGACTTGTACATCAGCTTGCACCTGAAACTCATTGTATAGGCGGCCACATCGCATTCACTAAGCCACTGCAGTTCTGAATAAGACTGGGCATATGCGGTGTCAGGTACTGGTGGTTATACTGACGGTCTGATCTTCTGCATTAGAGCGTAATTTACCGTTGCTTCGGAAAATCTCACAGGTACGAATTCCAGATAATCTGTGAACATATAGCGCCGTTGCGGAATGCTCAGTTTTCGCCAAGACGCTGGTAGACGCTGCCGCGTTCATACATTGTGACAACGTCTACCAGCGTCTTGGCGAAAACGACCACTAGCGTTCCGAGCGTCCGGCAGCGTCAGTGACTAGGAAAGTATAGATATCGATCTAGCGTCTACCAGCGTCCACCAGCGTTCACCAGCGACCGGGAGTAGAGAGTATGGGGAAGTAGAGGGTAGCAAACAGCTGGATTAGGCGTCGTGAAATTGCGTCGCGTGCAACGACACCGTGCAACTGCACCACTTTGTACAACAAGTTTACATAGTTCTGTGCTTTAATAATTGTGCAGTACGGTTGCACGGGTGTTTGCTACCCTCTTACTTCCCCATACTCTCTACTCCCGGTCGCTGGTGAACGGTGGTAAACGCTGGCAGACGCTAGAACGATGGCTATACTTCCTCAGTCCTTGAGACGCTGCTCTTCGCTGATGGACGCTGGCAGACGCTGGATCGATATCTAGACTTCTCTATCCTTCAAGACGCTGCGTCGCTGGTAGACGCTGCCGCAAAGTATGAACGCAGCCTAGGGCGCTACAGGCAGGGCACAGCCTTTTATTCCACAACACTTGATTCAGCGTATTTCTCCCCTATCACGTTGGCGTATAAAAAATAGTCTTTGGCAAATGTTATATTTTTTGGAACACGCCATGACTTCCGTTCAGAATAGTAGTGTCATATTGTATACGACATACAGTGACCTGCTATAATCAGTAGATATACAAGTCAGTAATATTCTGCTAGGTGAATTTTCGGATTTCATACAAATCTATCAATCCCGCGGAGAGGGAGGGCTTGCCGGGGGCAGATGGGAATTTGATTCTCTGACGCATCTTTGGCCACTACACCACGTT